GATTGTCTATGTTTGAACATCGCTGTCTACGCAGCATTGCACGATGGTTCGAGACACTGAGTAATATGGCTAGGTGCCGTAAACAGTGGTGTTCGTGTATCTTGTCGATTTCTCTTCAAAAGCAGTCCACTGAACTTTCCAATTGTCTCTTGGATCCTACTTTCCACTTATCCCGTCTTTCTTCTAATGTTCATCGAAATGGACAGTCGAAAGATAGCAACCAAAACCGGTGCACGATAGTGCATGGTTAATGCTTGTACAAACTGAGCTGAATTGAACTTAATTGAACTGCTTAGTCTAAGCGTGAAACGCCTCATAACTAGTGCGTGATCGGACTGAACGCATGCGGTCCAATAGAATCTGCACTTTGTTGCTGAGCTATGTCAACACTAGCTTACAACTACGGGGTCGATTTTAGTCAAATTTCCGTTCGAACCAGAACGCCGCGTTGCCGTCCATCGACAGCTGTTTCGTAAGTTAGTGCCATATAAGGATAATCAGTGATTTGCGCATAACTGAAGTAGTCGTTGACCGTTGTCTGTTCCCAAAGCAGGTTCAGTTCAGTTCAGTTTATACAACCGTTAACCATACACTTGTATGAGGCCTTCTTTTGGCTGCCTGTTTCGTTGAAAGATTGGAAAGAAGACTGGAATGTTAAGAGTCGTCTCTATATAGAAATAACGAGTTATGTTTTACTACGATTGCATAGATATTGAGAAGATGCACGAGCGCCACTGTCTGTCACATTGCTTCTATCCAGTCAGACGTGCAAAAGGATTTCTATTAGGAAACGCCTACTCCTTGCATTCATGTGTCTTAGATGTTTCCCCACTTAAGTGAATCTGCGAAAAGGTAACATCCGGAGGTGTAAATGGGTTGGTGAACTACGTTCACTTCACTTAAGGTGGTTGGCACAAAACACCCTAATTTCAAGCGAATCGAAAAGAGACATGCAAACCACACCAATGGGTCACATGTCTGATTGGTTATTGAGGTGTGTCCTGGGCTTGTGAGCCCGTTTGGAAGCCTTTTTATTTTGTTAACTGGTGCGGTTTTCATACACGGCGCCACTGTCTTCTGGATCATACTTTTGCTAACCGAAGGCTGCGGTTGTGAATCATGGGCGTTGTGAGTAGCGCATGATCAAGCAGTTCAGTTCAGTTCAGTTTTTGCAACCAATAACCATGCACTTCAGTTTTGATTGCTGTCTTTTGGTGCCCCATTTGAATAAAAGAGCAAAATGAAGATTGGAGTTTTGAAACCAAATTCAAGCGGAAGGCGGAGAATTCATCTAGATTGGTGTTAGAAGAGTAATAAATGAATGCAGGACCGCCACTGTTTGCGACACCCAGCCATATCACTCGCTGTGTCTAACCATCGGTGACCATGATCTCGGGGTCCCCATCCAGGGAGCCTAACAGGGTCTATGTGACCTAGTCTCTTGGTTAGGTTTTTCATATCCTCATGCCATGTCTTGGTTGGACCACCCTTGACCTTTTTCTAACCGCTACCTGCCTCGGCGAACATCGCTCGTCGTTGCAACCTGTTTGGTGACATGCGTAACACATGCCCCAACCAATGTAATCTATGGAGGTCGATCACTTGATCTATTGGGTGACCGCGGTTTTCTAAAACTTTTCGCCTGATCTCAGCATTGCTCGTCCGGTTACCCCGTCAGACTCGTGCAATGCTGCGTAGACAGCGATGTCCAAACACCGACAGTCTATCTTCATCTGTCTTCTTGGATGAGGACCTCGAGATGGTCGTCCCCGATGGTTAGAGACACTGAGGGATATGGCTGGATTCTTAATCAGTGGTGTTCGTGCATCTTATCGATTTCTCTACGAAAGCAATCCGCTGAACTTCTCAATTGTCTCTTGGATCCTACTTTCCACTTATCCTGTCTTTCTCCTAATGTTCATCGAAATGGGCAGTCGAAAGATAGCAACCAAAACCGGTGCACTATATTGCCTGGTTAATGGTTGTACAATCTGAAACTGAAACTTGGTAAATTTTTCGACGATGTGCGGAGACCAGAAAACGTCTGTGGAAGGTAATGACTCCGATTTCTTTGAGGACAAACTTTCTGGATTGTTGTTCACTGATAAGGACATGTTACCCAGAGTTCATCACATCAGCAAAGCAAATAGTACATCTTCACACTTGGAAGGGTTCATTTTGTTATGATGTGATGGCTAGTCATTGAGCAGTGAAATGTTATGCATAAGTCTGGGCTACCCGAATGAATTCGGAAAATGCATACCATACACAACACCATTGACGTACCTAATGAGGTATCAGTTTTTTTTCATTCCTACTTCCTTTCAATAAATACATATTGATACAATTTTCACAAAAGGGAAGCAGCCAGTCAGAGGGCTGCCATGAAACGTACAATGGGGAAATTCAGGCAGTGGTGGTGGTGTTCTCCGGGGTGATAATTTTGATGACTTTACTACCGTGTCACCACTACCACCGTCTGGAAAAATATCAGTTGTGATTAGAAAGGAACAGAGAATAACACCTTGAAGAACTTGAGTGGAGGATACAAGTGAAGAGTTCTGACCCTTTTATTTAGTGTACTTTAGACGATGGATTTATCTTTCAATGAGAACGAAGGCCATCAGATGAAGGAATGAGGCCTTGCTCCTGGGAATACATTCTCAATGGTCACTGGCTTATACCGGGCCAGAGAATTTTCTGTTTTATCGTGAACAAGAAGAACATCAACGCTACACCCCTGTCTGTCAAACTTCCTCCGGTGAAGGGAATTGCAGACAACAACCTTGGTCCAATTTCTGACAATTGTGCAACTTCTCAAATGCTTAAAGTGGAAAGTCCCTAAGAAATCTGTGTGTAGACGCATTTGAACAAGTATAAATTTCGTGTAAACTTTGTATGCATTTATATACACGGTCTATCCGAAATCCTGATTGCTAAACTGTAGACGGTGCTGGAATATTAAACCATCGGTAAAATCAATATCTGTTACGTGGTCCCTGCTGCTCAGTTCCATTCAGGTTAGATACTATAAACGCAACAGATCTTGTGTTAGTCGGGTCGACATTATGTGAGTGCTTGCTTGTGCTCGTGCGTGCTCACGTGTATACCTTAGTTAATTAATTAATCGTTTTTCTTCACCACAATGTTTCTGGTTTGCGTATGTGACACGTCGTTCACGCCTGGTTCACGTAAGCACGCATGCGCGCGCCGTACTCATACGCGGTTCGGCCGATTCACATTATTCACTCAGTCCGTGTGCTTGACTGGTCTACCACGGGGTGACTTTGACCTCATATGGTATACGCGCAAGACCATAACAGAGAATATCACACTACGTCTATCAGTAGGAACCGGTATCACTCAGGAGCGCGATACCGACGGATTGAGAAAATGGAATTCTGGATTTTTCTCGAACTCTAAATTATTTGATCTAGTGGGAGATCTTCGACTGGAGTTAACAAGTTGTACCCAATCTCTTTTAAGGAGCCGAAAGAACCAACTGATTGCCTCTGAAAACGAAAAAAACGTGCATTGTTAATTTTAATCGATACTGCTTTGAGCTCTTTGGTTTAATGTTGATGCTCACACGCGGGATATAAGGATCTGAAGTTCGAACCCCGCATATGTCTGTTGGACATACGCAAAATGTGTCCTAACCAATGGAGCCTATTGAGCTGGATTCGATGCGTAGCAAGTTCCTCTCGATGTCTTTCAAGACATCGGACGACTGACCCTTAAGTTACTAACCCGCTCACTCCATCCCACCTAGGCCACACCATATAAGCATCGATTGTCGAAAACCACTAGGCAACGGACGCCTTCTACCCGCAAACTCCAGGTCTCACAAACTCATCGTACAATGGCTCAATGTACGTGACTTTTCATCCTCAGTGAAACGTCACGTCTTCGCTACCGGTGTTTTAGTCCTGCATACGCTGCTTGAGCTGTGAGAATATGGACATTCATCTTTCAGGCTCTATCGTCCTTGATCACGCAGATACTCAGGTACGACAAGCAATGAAATTCAGCTAATTT